AGGAACTTAATTCCGTTAAAGAAAAAAAGAAAATCTATGTTGCAATAAAGTATTTAAAATTTCATCTCATTCAACTAACATCTTTTCAAAATATTATTATGTATTATCTTTTTTATTAACATGGATAATTTGTTATTCTTCTCAAAAGGCGAACATGTTTCTTTAAAACGTAGAAGTTATGCATTTGCGAGAAAAAAAAGTTAACCTTTTTGAAGTTATAAGCTATTTAAAACTAACATTATAACCTCCAAGTCTAGTGTTTTTCTTCCATGGATCAGATTTTTTTTTTTTTTTAGCTATCCAAAATCATCATAATCGTTTAATAGTTCCTTTAAAACATCTTTCAAATTTGGTTAGACTTTCCATAACACTCGAATGCTTTCTCTTTTAGTATACACATGACACAACATTCCAACTTTCTAAGAAAAACTTGAATCTCAAACCATATATGGTCCTATTCGACTAGATCTGAAACTAAGCTTTCCGTTTTTCAGATCCATTTGTGTGGTCCATTACTATATTGAAAGTCAGAAATATATTCAACATGCACCACACTATATTCCTGATGTTAATCGACATTTTCTTTGTATTTTTTATATCTAGTCAAATTTATTATGTACCAAAGTCCAATCCATAAAACTATTACTCAGTAAAATAATTCCTAAAAAGAAAGAAGTTAATTACTTAAATATCATTTTTGGAGAGAAAATTAGGTAAATAACACGTCAAAAAATAGAATTAAGTAAATAGCAAACATAATTAAATACGAGACGAAATTACCCCTACATAAATCTATGAAAATATTAACTATTTTTATTGACATAGTTGACAATATTTTTGAAATTTCATATTCTATTGATCTCACAAGATAGTTAACTATCTAAAACATAGTTAACTACTTTTCAGAAAAATAGTTACTAATTTAAAAGCATAGTTAACTATTTTCATAACATAGTTGTCTACTCTACCGATTTCATAACATAAATGACTAAATGAAAATATTTTTGTAATAGTTACTTATTTAAACAAAAATAGGTAACTATGTTAGTTACCTATTATAGTTTGAATAATAAAAATAATAACATACATAGTTAACTATTTATCAGAAACATAACTCCTAGATTCCGAACATAGTACTATAATTAGAAACATAGTAACATATTATAATTTCTGAACATAATTAACTATATTGATTTCTTTGTTAATTTTCATTAAGGGTAAAAAGAAAAATCAAAATTTTATATTGCTAGTTACTATATTTTGATTTATTGTATTTTAGATAATGAATTAGATGTTTTTAGGTAATATAGAGTGCAATTTATCCTTAATTTTTTTTTCATTTTAGAGCATCTCCAACCCCACTTCAAATCACACTCCAAATGCAATTTTGGAGTAATTTTTTTTCCAAATATGAAGT